ATTTGTGGGATCGTAAAAATACCATGTTTGTCTGAAGAGGTACATTTCCCTTAAAATGATGCTGGCAGGAATTTGTTAAAATGCCATCATTTATAGCTTTACTGCCTTTGTCCCATTGTAGCTTTTCAATGGCGATGCCAGGAATCTTTATCAGAGTATCTAGCCCACATGCCTGGGTCATTCCTATGACTCCTTTGAAATAATAGCTCCAAGCTTCACTTTCTCCTCCATCTTCTAGAGTTTTCTATCACTTAAAATGCCAGATACGCTTGAATGTAAGTGGATTCTAACTTTTTACATTTAACAGATCTTGTTTAGTCTTTAATAAAGAGTATGCGAATTTAAGTGTTCGTAAACGGTCCAAGCTTGTCAGTCAGTCTGAGTTCAGCAATGGAATTGAGGAGGTTTTCTGGAGATCTTTTGGAGGTTTTTCTGTGCGCGCAACTCAACCTGATGTAAGAAAATGCAGTATTTTTCCCTTTAATAAGCTACAGCATAGCCTAGCTGAACATGCATATTTTTTGCAGCCTATAGTAAATTGTTTTTCTTGCTACATTCTTGTCTTTCTGCCCTTTGCAATGTGAGTAATACTGGCATAGTTAACCCAACATTCAAATTTAGTAGTCTGCATTTAGAGGTGATGTTTGAGAGAAGGAAAATGTAAACAGCGGAGCTGACTATGTGGGCTTAAGCCTAGTTAAGTCACAGAACACTTCAGTTGGTTTAATAGAGTTTGTAAAGCAGATAGGAAAGGCAAAGCCCCTCTTAACATGTTCAACAAAATAAAAGTTTAAATTTCTCATTTTAATTTTTTATCGGCAAAAAGGTTTCATCCTAAATCAAGAATTCATAAGTATGTCTTCACTCAATTTTCAAACATTTAAAATCAGAGGTATTAGCCACCAGTGATAAAAAAGCGAGGTTTGGGGATGGTTTTTCCTGTTTTTTCTTTAAAATATGCTGAAATTTTGCGGAAAACTAATGAAAGATCTGTGTGGGAAAAATTAGTTGTTTTTGACGGAGTTCAATTTAAGCTTTGGCTTGATCGGTCGCTGTGAATCTGGTTCAGATCTTCTTTCACTGCTATACGAATCTTCCTCCGTGGCCTACCAGTGTAACTTGACCATATTGAGGAGCTCCCCATTTCGAATGGAGAAGAGTACGGGTGACACTATGTACTGCTATTCCTTCACCCACCTGTGATTTTACAGTGAGCCACATGGTTCAGGTTTCTGCCTGAAGTGACTGGGAAACTGCCAGCTAATACAGGCTCAACTGGGATTCTTCTGATGGTTTCACATCCATTGGTAACTGCACCAAGACTAACTTATTTTGCACTAGACTGTAATTAATGTGTTAGGTGTTAACTTGGGAGTCTCGTTTTTCATTTCCTTTGCTGCACGTACTGCATAGAATCAGTTGTAATGTGAAGTTTAGTCAATGAGAAACTGAGGAAGCAGATCCTAGATTTCTAATTTGCAACAGGTGAGACAAGCCTGTGTTTTATGTGGATTGATCTGTTTAAGGCAGAAATATTTTCATAGGGTAAATATTCAAGTACATCGGTTAGAAGCTTGACCGTTCTCAACTAAGAATAAGCTGTATCTGCCATTTTCATCTCTTGTAATAATTAATAAATTGGGACACAGGTTACAATTTTTTCTCATTTTACTTTATAACCATATATAATTTCTGTCCTTCTACATCCAGTTCTCTTTTATATGTTTTTATGAGGCTTTTACATTTTTCTGGTTTATTCCTTGTTATCTTACTGATACAATAGTAAGATGCAAAAGCTGTGTATGAGGGGAAGGGAAGGAAAAGGCAGGTTAACCTTACCACTTTTAAAACAAACTTTCTTCTGTAAAGGTATTCTAGGACACAAAACCTTAACGCTGATAAATAAATACAAACAGGCATTCTGTACCATCCAAGACCTACTTTATTTTACGTTTGATTGCTTTACTCTGGGTAATTACTTTAGATGTGTAAAAGAAAGTCTTCAGCAAAAAAATTATTTTGCTTTTTTAAGCAGTCAGGGCTTTTTTTTTTTTTTTAAGGGCAGTCACCTACCCATTGCTAAAAATGCCTACAGTTTCCAAAAGGTTTTCAGCATTGCAACTACTAAAGCACAGAGAGTCAAATTACTCACTGCATCAGGTAGTTACTACCATTCAGCATTCATGAAGGGAATTAAAAAAAAAAAAAAAAAAAAAGACACCAAGCAGCAGACACTGGGTTTTACCAATTTTATTTCTAGACTTTAGTTTTTTTGCTGGAAACTTGTCTGTTACAGGTCTGTTGGTGAAAATGTGCATTTCAGACCAGTGATGCCAATAAGTACAATATAAAAATGTACAAATCTGAATTGCTTGCTTACTACAGATTGTTATAATAATGTGACAAATAAAGCATCTCTGTTGGCACATGAACCCACGTATTCTGGATTTGGCCTTTTAGTACATACAATATTTTAAAGAAGTTTGCAGTACACACTGCCACTCAGTGTAACACATAATATAACCAACAAGCACTAACTCAATAATCATGTTTGGTTCAGAGACACAGAGATGCCACAAACAGAAGTGTTTTATGAGGTAAGCAGTAAGAAATGTTCCTGAAATTTGGACAGAATGTATCCAGTCCTCCTGGGTCCTGCGACTGCTAGTAGCATTGCAATGCTTTATTTATGCACTATGTAGGATCTTAACTGCATTTGCCTCAAAATGAGTTCTAATTCTGTTTTGGTTTAGCAGCATACAGGCAACAGCTAGATTATTCTTCAGCATACAACTCTGTTAGCTGGCTTATTTATGAGATTTACAGGCTTTTTAAATTAGCATTATGCTATAATTAAAAAAACAAACAAACAAACAAAAAACTAGTATATCATAACAGATTAAACACACAAAATACTTAGAGTTCCAGAAGATAACCTATCATACCAGATGATGTGTCCCAACTGATGGGAAACCACATCAGGTGGCATACAAGAGTTATATTATAATGCACCTTTCATATATCAATGTGGCTAATAACACAGCTTAAAACTACTATGATAATAAACCCCAGATCAGACAAAGAATCCAGCTTTATAAAATGCATAACAACAAAAAAACTGACATTACTTGATCTTCTGAAATGTCTGCTGTTTTTAAATTAATGCAACCTAGTTGCAAATCGCGAGACCCATTCAGAATAACGTTCGATGCATTTCCATTTGCAGTAGAACTATGAGGCACTGTGTACGAACATTAAAACCTGGTCTAGACGTGGTTAACTGAAGTATGAGGTATTGTGAAACAGGAACCTTTTTGGAATAGAGCAGTAATCACATTAAGTAAAAATTGATCACATAAAAAAATCTACAAAAAAATGATGTCAATAATATAATTTTCTATGAGAAAATTAAAACCTATAACATGGCAGTATATGACATTGTATAACAAAAAAAAAAAACTGATCCACAAAATAGCAGCAAAACACAATGACAAAGATACAGAAAAGCAATGTTAATTTTTTTTTTTCAAACCATGCTGGGAATTTATCCATAGCAGCTCAATAAAAATGGAGCATCCACTCCTTTTCTTTTCTCTTTTTCTTTTTTTTTGATTTTAATTTTTTTCTTTTTTCTTTTTTTGTTTTCTTTTGTTGTTGTTGTTTTTTTTACAATCAACACCTTAGCGGCAGTTTTCTCACATACATTTCACCATCACATTCTCCTCGAGCATCAACTTCAACAGCTATGTCCACGTCCCTTCAGCTACTTTCTAAAATAATAATAAAAAGATACATAGCCAAGATGTGCAAATTTTCTATTTGTAGCTAAATAAAAAAATGGGGCATATACTGGAATAAGAACTTCTTTCAAGTACTCCAATTTTCATATCTATTAACTATGGCGTTGTCAGGGTTAGACTGCTTTTGAAAAATGTATAGGAAGGGGCCAAATAGACTGCTCTGTTTTGGGTTTGTTCTTTGAAGCGTGTCCTTTTTTCTTTAATAAGCTGTGTTAAAACTGCAACATCAAGGATAGGAAGATTTTTTTTAAAAAGGGGCGATTGCATTATTTTACAAATCATACTGGCCTTACGAACATCCTCTGCAATAAATATTCTTTTTAGCCTTAACTATAAATTATATATTTTAGTGTTTAAAAACCTTCAGTTGTAAAACATCTAGCAACAATCCTTAAACTATGTGTCCTATATGTGAACCTTTAAGGCCCCTAATTTATAAAAAGATGAGTTGGCACCAAAGGATTTCTAAACTTCAACTTTTCTATAGAAAAGGATAGGAAGATATCCTGGCAATTTGTGAATGCAATTTCTCTCACTGGAACACAACCTTCGTAAAAAAAAAAAAAATCACCTCTCCTCTAACACCATAGTTAAATGCACTTGCTTTGCAATTCCAAGTTTGCGAACAAGCACTTATATATTTCCAAACCATTCCATTAAAAAAAAATTCCCACACAATAAAAGAATGTATTTCCTATATCTAATGGACTGAAAGTGCTTTGAATGGAATGGTTTTAGAATATTACAAACAAACAAAAAAAAAAAAGACTAAACTGTGGATTGAACCTGACCATAGTTAGGCTGAATATCTGTGGGGTCAGACCAGCATTTACACAGGTAACTACAAAAATATGAAGATTACAAAAATATAATATATTATGTCACTATTTCGGTTTCTCTTTATAATAGAGTATCGTATGAGTAGTACATTGGCCTCTCCCAACAATGCTACGCTGGAACCCTACAAACGCCTTACGCACAGGCAATCCACAGGCACAAAAAAAGATTAACATATAATAATGCTGCATACTAACATACACTAACTTACGGGTTACGTTAACCATTTATAAGGTGAAGAGGATAAAAAACCTAAGGAAATAAAATAAACATTTACAGATGAATTATAAAGTGACTAAATGCATAAGCAAGCAAGATACAGAAAAGCCTAGAACTGCGTTAAAGCTATGCTTTTTAAAGGAAAAAAAAAAGAATATTTCATTTACTATCAAAAAAAAAAAACCCTCTTCTACTTTAAAAATGGTTGGTTGGTTTGTTTTTATATGTAAGAAATCAAATCTAATACCTCCCCTGGAGACATTTTGTGTGTTAATGCCTATTTTTACAACATACAGACAAGAACACTTTAATATAAAAACTAGTTGATTATTATTGTATAAAATCCTCTATTTTTGTAGCACAAACCCCTGGGGGTAATGCAAATACTATTTTTTTCTTTTTTTAAGACAGTTTTTGGGGTATTTTTTGTTTATTTGTTTGTTTGAAGTCACAGATGGAAGGGAGACAGAGCAAGAAAAAAAATATAACAAGACTGGTTTTCCCTTCTGGTATAAAAATGTCCTGGAGAAAAGGGTTTCTGGGGGGGAGATCCTGATGCCGATTCCTTCTCAGATGCCCTTTCTTTGTCTGCTTTTCTCGCCAAGCAAACCCATTAGAAGAAGTCCTCTTAAATGTTCACATCTCGCACATCAGTAGGTGTGCAGGAAAGGTCTGCTTCATCCTCTACAGTCTTTGTTTCTGAAGATATGTTGTGCTGCTGTGCCTGACGTAGACTGGATTCAAGGAGGGATTCGATCTGTTCTTGGCAGGCTCGTAAACAATCCTAGAGAAGATTAAATGGAAGGAGAAAAAGACCCAGGGTCCTTTAGAAAAGTAAGATCACAGACCAAATACCATTTCTTGAAAAAGCAGGAGAAATACACTCTAGTTATTTGGCAGGGCAGCAGACTGAAAGGAGCAGGGGAAGAGCAGGAGAAACACTGAACAGTAAACGATTGGACAAGCTACCCCATTTTCTGCAGGATGCTAGCCTGGATCCAGACTTCAGCAGCTAACTCTTACCATCTTCTATTTAATGGCCTAGGTGAGCATCTCCATACATGGTCCTCTGGACAAACCATGACTGCTGTTCCGTTGTTAGCCTCAGCCCATAGGTCTACAACTGAATATGATGAACGCTCCACTACAACGACACATGTAGTAACTAACCTGGGCAGGACCGTGACACAGTAAGATGTTGTAGCTTGCACTTTCCTGCCTGTGCTGTTAAAATTTCAACAGTTCTGTAAAAGTCCACTCATACTACCTTTTACCTAACTGACCCTTTATATATTTCGAAAAATAGGAACAGTCTGACTGGACAGTAGTGTGAATCAATGAAAATTAAATGAGTGGAGTTGCAAAGACATGAAACTGGGCTGGAGTCAGAGTTGGTCCAAGTATTGCTGGTGCTGTAATGATTTCTGCTTTTACCATGGAAACACTTTGGCACTACAGTCTACTAGAAGTGATGGTCACCAATAGTGATTTTCCAGGCTGAGTTCTGGTAAGTTCTTAGATAGAAGCACCATATAGATGTATTTAGATAACGTGCCCAAAGTTGCCTGCCAACTGCTGCTACGTCCAGCAGTGGGCAGCTCAAGTTACTGAACTGATTTTTAATTCAGAAATCATCTGAACCAAAAAATTTACTGGACTGTCTGACCCCAAAATTCAAAGATCTTTCAGAAGCACCACTAAGCATCCTCATAACCATGCGTTATGAAGTGCTGTCAAGCTTTCAGTTTGCTACCACAGTCACCTTGAAATCTCAAGTCGGGGCGAGATCTCTTTCCCCTGCTTCAAAAGCATTTTCTCAGAGCTAAATGCACATACAGTCCTACTGAGTTTTCAGGGGGGTGCAATGGCCTTGCTGCTTGCAGACTTTGGTGTGAATTAAAAGGATAAAGCACTTTAAGCAGGATGACATCTCTTATGGGGAAAGGTAACTTCCCCTAGGCGTTAAACCACAGCATGAGTAGATACATCCAATTCTACTTAGCGATCCTCAGCCATTAGAATTGGAGAAGGCCTGTTAGCTCAACCTGTTCAACTTTCAGCAAGTTACGGTTGTGTTCTTCAAAGCCATTGCAACAACACAAATGGTGCCTCAAATAGGCAGAAAAATCACACTACATTTTGCCAGAATTCCTCCAGCATGCTGTTTACTCATACCTTTATAACAAACATCATAAGCTTTTCCCCAACATATTTAACTCTGTGTATTAAGGACTTTGAAGTTTCCTTTCAGTACTGCCTTTTCTGATTTAACCTATGACATGTGTTAGCCCTTGCGGTGAACCCAGTCTTCCATGATAAATTGCCGTCAAAAGTGTTAGGATGTGCATGACTGAGAATGAATGTTGTTTTCCTGAGAGGGTGACCTGCCTGCTGTTTTCTTTATTTCCCAGTTTCAATTCTGCCTTCATTCAGAGGCTTCTTGTGTGATCTACCAGCTTTTCACTGATTCCACTACCACAAGCATCTCCTCTGCCACCAATAAGGGCACATGGCATTTGGGGTAAAATAAGATTAGAAACCCAAGCAAACAATTCTCTGCAAGTCCTTTCTAAGAGAGAGGGAGGTTAATCCTACCTCTAAGCAGATCAGACCATCAGTTACAGCTCACTGAAAACACATAACCTATGACCTTTTCTGGTTTAAACCCTAGTGTAATATTTCCTCTTGACAGAGACACACAGCGTTTTAAATGACAAAAAGAAACGCCTCATATCCTAAAGTCATCATGCCTTTGGCTCCTACATACCTCTGGCCTTCACAATAAGATCTCTATGAAGTCCTTTCAGCACTTCTCAAGATCCATCCTGACTGTAAGGCTCCTACTGGCATCTCCTGCACCACGTACCTCAGTCACACTTGGAATTTGATGTGTTAAAAGAGTACATGAATACAGGTTTAGGTATTTTTGGTTTTACAAATCCAGGCACTTTTGAGGATAATTCCATTTTAACAAGGTGGCATGTTCACTGGTCCAAACTGAAAGCCAATTTTCAGAGCAAAATGAACCCTGTTTGCTTTTGGGGAGGGGGAGATTGTTTTCTAGGTTTTGGTGGGGTTATTGTGTTGGAGTTTTTTTAATCCTACCATTTGCGTGTTTGAGCTCTGAAAACTAAAAGCATTGAACAGAATTTCTATAAATACCTATTATTCTCCCTCTGGAGTCCAGTCACGAATAATTACACAGGACTCCGTAATATAAAGGTAATTTTTGACCACAGAATTTTTTTTTTCTAACCCTGTTAGATTCTCAGAGTATAGAATGTTGTAACTTTTTTTAAAAACATAATCATTACAATTTGTTATGAACAGACTATGTCTTAAGCTACAGCTGAATGAAGAGTATTTTTTTAATGTTTTAGGCATTTTTGTTCAAATCACTTCTTATTCAGATGAATATTAGCTGAATAGTTTGTCTGCAGGAATGTATTAGAGCTAGCAAAAATAACTGCAAAATAGAACATGCACTGTGGAAAACCTCACCAAAGCTTTTTTCATTCTCAGTACTTCTCAACACTGAAAAGCAAATACAAAACTTGTGCACTACTCTGATAACTTCTCCCAACAACTTTTCTGCTTCACTACCCAAATTTTCAATGCCTACAGTTTGTTCAAGGTCATAAACCCTTCCTGGATTAATTAAGCTCCTCGGTGGAAAAAAAAAAAAGACTTGCTAGCTTAACTGATGTGGTCAAATACCTTTAACACACACAGTAGACATGATCAGACTCCAGGGTCAGATACTAAAGGAAACAAACAACAACAAAAAAGAAACTGCTTGGAAATCCTTTGTTACTGCCTGACCCTTTCTGGATAACAAGCACATGTTTGAAGGTGCCTCTGAGTAGGGGCAGGCAGGAGACGAATTCCAATGTACTAACAGACAGCATGGAAACCCAATCTAATCTAGTTTAGCAAATTTCTGGCCTGGAAATGAATGTCAGGTAAAATTCAATCTGTTTGGATGATGGGGTCAAGAATAGAATGATGGAAGACAGCCCAAGACTTCTAATTGTGATTATCTGACTTCTAATTACCCCTGATCAAAGGCAAAATGGGAAATTGGACTCCTACCAATGTAAACATGAACCATAAAGGAATTCCAATCAGGTGATATTCATTTTACTTTAGATTCAGCTTTCTTTGAGACTAAAGGTAAAAAAGTGTAATTATATAACCTGAAATCCAACAGACCAGCTGCTCTAGCTAATAGATAATCAGGGAGAATGTTAGCCATGTTATAAATGCATGCTCTTAATATTTCAAGACAATCCAATATAAAGCGTATTCCTTTGTGCGGTCTGACAAGGAGAACCATCACTGTGGAGTAACAAATTTCATATACATGCTAGTGAAATAAGATAATAGGAATAACATTTGATACCATGGACTACATAGTCACATCTTACGGGAAATTCTCTATGCAGGGGAATCGGTGCTATGTATGAAACCAAGCAGTTTTCTCCACTCAAAGAAACAGTAGTAAAAAATGCTGTTTCCTTATTCCATTACAAACACAACAGCATACGAATACATGGCTGTAATTTTATGATGCTTATTTTCTGTAGCAACCTATACAAAAAACCTTACTTCTAAGTCTAGCTGCTCTAACACATGAATACATCTAGCAAAGAAAGCTGGAGGGGAGTTACTCCCTTTTAAAGCTCTTAAGTTCAGGCCATACAGATTGTGGCCTTGCAATGACTCTGGACAATAAAAAAAAACCCAAGGATTCTCCTTCTTGCTAAAACTACTTCCTTTTCTTTTAAAAGAGCTCTGTAATCAACTAAGTCAAGTCACATAAGGACATGCTGCTGTTCTCCAAGATGTGAGAGAATCTACTTCAATGCTTTGTATCACGAATGATTAAATAATGTTTTTGTTTGAATCAGATACTGTCAGAACAGATAGCGAGCCTAGTATTTTTCCTCAGTACCTGCTTCAGCTGCCTCGCGCTGGATAGTGGCCAACCATACACTGAAATATCGACACTGTTCACAAACAGACTAAAAGCATTACATGTACATGCCAAACTGAGCATTTCAAGTTCTTACAGTATTTAACATTTCAGCACTGGATCCATATTATTTTAGCTGCAGCAGTACAAAGGGCAAAAATAACGTGCTCAATACTGAGGCATTGTTAAGGTGATCAAAATAATAAGCTGAGATATCATATTTGTCAGCAATTGTTTCACAGTCTATCAAAAGTAAAATATTCTTTTGCGAATAATTAATTATAATGCATTCATCTTTCCAGAAATCACTCAGCCCTGTCAACGGAGTCCAATTATACAAACCTAGTTTTGCAGTGTCTGGACTAGCACAGTTCTCTACGTATTTAAATTATTAAGGTACAAAATAATTTAACAGCATCTCAAAGATTCTGCCGCTAACCACAGAGTTGTCTTTATTTGACTCATTGTCCAGCGCTTGGAGACCTCACAAGAACCTTTTTAAAGCATCTATTTATTGGTCTTCCACATTGTTACAAAACAAAGCTCAACTCTGCCCGAACTTCACACACCATTATGACATGGATCATTGACTTTAGGTCTTCCTTGTAGGCTCCCTTCCTGGCCCATTCACTCATGAAAGGTTTATTGCTCACTAGTTACTGATGTGCATCTCCTGGAAGCTGCAGGGCAAAATGAGAGTCTGTGAGGACCATCTACCTCGTCAGAGAGTCGTGGGACAAGCATTTGTTCCGAAAAGGAATTCAATACCAGCTACTGTGCAGGTCTAGCACGTAATAAACCAAATTAGATCATTAGAACTCTTTTAAGAAGGGCTTTTTCACACCACTTGGCACAATAAAAGGCCTCAAGAATGGTCAAAGATAGGGTCAGAGATACCACGAGGTCTCGGTAACTATTTCCTCATCTTATTTTCTAAGTTTTGTTTTACACAGACTCCTGGTTTAATGACGTACAACCAAACACGGGCTCTGCAACATCCTAAATCAATGCAGGGTTTCCTTTGCTTTGCCAGATACGCCTCTCTTACAAACATTAGAGCTGGACGTGGCATTCCTATCAGTGAACTGCAGCGGTGTAATCACCGATTATTAATGGACATAACGACAGCTAAATAACTGGGACGGACACAAGAGAACACGTTCAAAAACCCCACTCTGAGGTTCAACTTTTATCAAGATTTACTCTCCGATTAGCTACTAGGCAGTAAGCAGGCATTCATTCTTAAACTCTTAAGGCAGGAGATCAACCAAGAGAAAGAGTCACTTACCGGATCACATTTGATAACTTGTGATAGGAAATGTGTGAGGCATTGATAGGAGAGGAAAGTGTTAGTGTTCCCCAGATGCAGGCCTTGCACAGCTGCTACCACACTGCCAGCTGCGATCATGGAAGGTGGGTTTGAAATAAATTTAATATCTGTATGAAGAAAGGAGAGAGAAAAAAAAAAAAAAAAAAGACTGAAATGATTGCTTTAGGAGAAGCCTGCCCATACACATACACTCCTCTACCAGCGTGGCTTCAGCTGCCAACGATTGCATCCGAAAAGGCAGGGAAAATTGGGAGCAGAAAGGTGCCTCCTGCTCTAAACTGTTACAGGCCCGAACCTGTAAACACTTACGCACATGAGCAACTGTACTTGAGTGAGTAGCCCTTCTCAGCACTGAGCTGGGGAGGCCATTCGTCACTCGGAGGTATTTTTATCATAAGCAGGGCCCCCGTTCTTCAAACGTTAAAATACTCTGCTGGTGTGAATAATGCCACTGGGGTCAATGGCACTATACATCTGAGAAAACCTGTTCGCATTCGTGTTTCGCACGAGCAGATCCGAGGTGCACTCTAACAAGGAGTCCTCGGGCCCTTTAAAGCAGAAAACTTTTGCTCTGACATTCAAAGGAATATAGCTTTAATGAACAACATCATCAACAAAAAGAAAGAAAGAGAAAGACTGCTTAACCCTGTCAGGAGGCAGATAATCCATATTTAAATTAAGGTTTCATCTTAAAAAAGCTTTGTCTCAACCTAGTCTCTTGTCAGTGGCTGCCATCCGTCCTGGCAACAGGGATTTAATGTAAATGTGGCATAACTAAGTGACGGGGGTCCCAAGAATTGGCGGACAATCAGTTACATTCTGATGTGACACCATGCTGACAAGAGGCTGGGCCCCCTTCCAGACTGCATTGCTGTAGGTCTCTCCACAAAGCCACTCCCATGATTCCTTAAGGGGCTATCTCTGCCATTTCGCATGGTTTTTTGGTCTGGGTTTTGTTTTGTTTTGCTCAATAATAAAATAATCCACGTTTTAATGCTAAGACTCTTTCTGCTGAACAGGAATGCGTTTGATCTGTGGCAGTGTACACCTTGGAGGAGAATCGGAAACAAAGGAAGTAAGTGGCATAAGTAAACGTCTAATTTTGTGACGAAGAAAGGAAAATGCCACGTTATACACAAGAACCTGAGATGGCTTTTATCAGAATACAACTTCCTCCGAGTTGAAAAACTATAAACCATCTGTCAAACCCTTGAATGAAATCAAAGGAATGGACAGCTTAGAGGGCTCAGTGGAACAGTTTGAGTATTAAATCATGCATCTACTTTATTATGGTAAAATAACTTTTGTGTAAATGTTTTACCAGTGAAACTAAAGACTTCGGGAGTCTATGAAAGTCGTCTCTATGAATCTATTCATATACCTCTGACACTCCATTGTAGCCCAAACCAATACCCACCTCCAAAGGGGCGTTTCGCCCAGCGTTCTATGAACCTTCAAAATTAAACTGATACAATGAATTGTGGCCAAACTTTTGTGATGCACTGCCAGCAAAAAGGCAAGCTTGATCAAGCTTGATCTAAAGTCACCTCATTTATGTTGCCGTGCTTAAAATAAATTCAGTTCATCTCCTTTTCCTAATCTGCCCATTTCCGGCCAGATATAAATACACCCACCTTCTAGCAAGCTTCCGTCATTCCCAAAAATCAAAATAGTCCAGGCTGCTTATTGACAGTATATACATTCCAAAGCCAGTCCCCTAACTGAAATACTGATGCACAGTTGCAGGTAGACTTCGGAAATGAGGGATTTCAATAGGCAAGAACGAATTCCACCAGGACTGGGTTGCTCAGAGGGGTACGGCAGCAGTGCGTTCGCACCACTATTTGCTGAGTCCACAAACAGAACACGACCAAAATGTGTATGTTTAACGAGTCTGTCCTGACAGGATCACGTTTGGGATTAATATTTGCGTTCCTCTTTTAAACGGGGCAGTAAACAAGAACATGAATTCATAGTCACACCCTCATTCTTTCCAAGGTGGAAAAGTGATAATGAAGTTTAAATGACCAGTTTGTGTCTGTCCCTATAACCACTCCAGACAAGCAGCATGGACTGCCTTTTTGTTGCAACTCAACAAGGAATTATTTGTGGCAGAGGCCACTAATTTCAGCATATTAATCAGGGGGCCCCTCTCGCCTGTAATTGGATGCCCCCAAGTGAAGAGTGTGGCATCATTGTCAGCCTCCATCGCCTCATCTTGCGCTATTGAGCGCTCAGGAACAAGGGGGCTTCGGTGAGATGAATTAGACCTGACACAGCCACAATGGGGTAGGGGGCCCCATCAATTGAAGCACACATCCCCAGTAGCCTATCTGAGACTTCATCCAAAAAGAATAAACAACTTCAGCGTTGTTAAAAAGAGAGAGAGGGAGAGAGAGAGAGGAGGGGGAGGAGAGAGAAGAATGCCAGCCACCCTGAAGGGAGGACAAAGCAGGCATATAGGCGCTGCAGCGCTTTAAAAAAAATTCCTAACAAGGCGAGTCACCCCTTTTCCTTTTTAAATGGAGCAGCAATTCCATCCGTCTGGAGAGCTGGGGGCTATGAATGAAAATCTTTTCATTGAGGCAAATCAAAACTGCGAACATAAATCACTTGCTGCAAGATGCAACAGGTTCCAACTGGTCACATACCTTGAGACTTCCAATTTTATAAAGGCCAGAGAATAGGAGAATTGTAATGCGCTTGTTTCAAAGGGGGATCTTTCTTTCTCTGTCCGAGAGGAGGAAAGCAACAACAATAATAATAGCAATAATAATAATATAAAAGGAGCCTGGTATGTTTTGATAACCAGAGGAACATAATGAAATGCTGAAGCTCCAATATTTGTTGCTATTCATTGTTATGCTTGTATAGAGCTGCAGTTCTCCCTCAACACTGGTCTTAACTTGGGCCAAAAGAGGCCTGCTTCCTTTTGAGCTCTCCCTGCCTTGCTCGGCCATGCCAAAGCCCCATTCATTAAGCTCAATTATGTGTTAACTTCAAACAACCCCTGGTAATTTTTTATTTTTTTTTGCTTTTTCTCTCGAACCTACCACAGCACAAAGACATCCTTTGGTGAAAATAGATTTTTCAAAAACTAAACGAAATCAAACAAATCCACTTCTACTAGCCAGACAACTGAAGAGGGAGCTTAGAAGGAATTCCCCTCAACTTCACCTTGCAGCGTAACCTTCTCTTTCTGGAACAAACGCATACACGCTCATCTACAAACACTTCCACAGCCTTCACCTTTTAAGCCAACTGGCGGAGATTTTATTTTCTAAGTAGGCATTATTTTGCCATCTCTTCTTAGGAGACCCTCCTTTACAGTAGAGGACACAGGCGGTACTTCAAGCAAAGGATATACTGCACTTGCCCCTGAGGCCACTTAAGCGAGTGTCACTGTTTCCAGTGGACTTTGGATTGGGCCCCACAGCATCCAGGCAGCACAACGCATTTGCAGTCCATCTAGGTTCGTTTTGGCAAGGGGAAATACAACACAACCCAGCAACAGCAAAGCAAAGTCCAGATGCTACTTAAGCCACATGTGATCTTCACTAGCCAACAAAGAAGTCATGAGGAAAGCAAGAGGTAGAGAAAATCCTGACATCCAAAAATAACAATAAAAATACAGAGCCTAGTGGCAGCCTTCCTGAGTGCTCTTTCCCCAGGCAATATTCCCAACTTCAGTAGGGAGCTGAAGAGGGCCCCAATTCTGGTGAGCTCAGCGCTGGTTTTTTTAAAAGCTAAGTAAAACTCCCAGAACATGGTTCTCATTTACTGATCCATTCTCCAGCTGTGGTGTAGCAGTGTTAAATAAAGGCTCTGGATGTGCTTCCTAAAAGAAACATAACAACACCGACAGTAGATCAAAGTACTGGACTCTTAGCAAGTCTCCAACCTTTGAACTACTCTTGTTTTCATCCCTGTCATTGCCAACACAACAACCTAGGTTAAACATCCCCATATCCAAAGGGGAGGCCGGGTAGCTGTTCTTTTTAGCTAACAGCCGAGGAAGCTTCAAACTTAGCAAATCACGCATTCGGAGTCGCAGCAGACATATCTGGTAGAATCTGGCATGGAGTTACGTCTGATTTCCCAAAAATGTTGCTGCAGGTAGTCTGAAGGCTGTTTGAAGATTGTAGCGCTCTGAACACTGAGCATTATTCCAGGCAATCTAACCTACGAACTGCCCGTTATGCTGATGTTAAGCTCAAGATGAAGAGCAATGCCAGCGTTTATAGATTTCTCTTTTATGGCTCGGTCGTTCTATCTTTAGGCCTTGCAGTAGGGCCGATTCTGTGAAATAAAACTTTTCTTCCGAGTGCCTGCAATCTTCCTTCAACCTTTTTATACCAAATCCACCTCTGGAACAAAAACTACGCAACATTAGTTTGTGCCATTGACTACACACATCCCAACGAGGTTTTCAAGTGTGGATACCTCTTCCCAAGTCCAAATGCAGGCGTCATGTCTTTTTTGTTAGCACAACAACTGCTACTGAATATTAACATTTACTAAAGCACCGTATCTCCTTTACACTAAAGTTTTTATCAGTGTCAACAGAGTGTCTGGCATTCCTCTTTACGTGCTACTGCGAAAGAACATTTGCTTTGGCTGCTTTTTCTTCCTTATTCTTTTGCCATTCCTGGATTGGCCTCGCCATACTAAAAGAAAACACGCGGAGCACGTTTTGTTTAAACAGAGTATCTTCCCTCTAGAACTTCTTTTGTCCCTGCTCCTCCACTCTGTCCTGTGGGAACAGCGAGATCTGGAGAACAGAAAGGCTTCTAAAACTCTTTTTTTCCTTCCCGCTCGTTAGGGTTCAGTGGGTAAAGCCGGTACATGTACAAATGCATACACACACAGTCCACACGCAAACATGGAACTTCAAAGAACCAGCGCGCGCGCACGCACGGTGCCCTTGAAACCAAAGATCAGGCCTCTGCAAACCTGGCCTAGCGAACAGTCGGCGTCTTTGGAGGCCGGCCCCGCACATGGCTTCAGCACAGCACGTGGTCAGAAGGGTGCAGATGGCAGCGGCTCGGTCCTGTGCCAGGAAAGCCTCTGTGCTGCGTGGCCCTCCTCCAATCCACCGGCCACCAAGGAGGGGGGGAAGAGGCAACTTGAAGAGGGAAGTTTTAAAACCCCCACGCAGAGCTATTCACAAGCCAAATCTCCCTCCGCCTTTAAAAAAACGTCTTAAGAACAAATCCACACGGGGAGGGATTCCCCGTACGGGCAGCGAGCCTTTTGCAGCCCCCACATAAAACCTGGTGTAGAGGGGTGAGGAGATCGTGCCACGCCGAGCTGCGGCTCCACGGCTAAGCTACAAAGAAGGGGGGGGTTCTTCTCCCAGCCCGACACCACCATGTACTCAACTCGGAAGCAAAATATCTTCTGAAAAAACTTACCTCTGCAAAGTAATCCACCTTCTACAAACAACAAGGGGCAATAATCGGGGCTTAAGCTACCTCCCCACAGCTCTGCAAGCTTGCTTTAGACCACAGCTATGGGAAGCTTTACGAGCCGGGGGGTAGGCGCGTGTAGGGGAGCAACGCGCTTTGCTTAACGTGCAGGGCTCATACCTGTAGCGCACAGAGCCACAAAAGTCTGAGCATGTTTACGGATGATCTGCTTGGTGTCCTCTGCCAGAGGCATTTTAGTAAGGAAATGTTCAATGAAATCGTGGGGGGTCATTGCAGCCAGATTCCATTTCAGCTTATTCACCAGCAGCAGCTCCATTTGCTGCAAAGACAAGAGGGAGGGAGGGGGAGAAGAGAAGAGGAGGAAGAGGGACAGCGTG